GATAATTCCCAGCACTCCTGTTATAACCTATGTCATTACTGATTCTTGGACACAAAACCATCTTGCAGTGTGCCAGTGACTCCCAGAAAAGCCTCCCCAAACCCTCCTGTCATTCACACAGGTACGATGCCAAAAAACCCCAGTGATGACTAATTGAATGCTGCTACACTGCTTGTATTTACAACATTACTCTCCATCTGCAGCCCCAGCACCCGCCCCCTACACCCACCCACCCACCCAGCCACCCTCCCTCTCCTGAAAAGCCTGTAACCTCAGGCGACAGTGCCAGCCAGCCTCGGCCCTGATATATTGACTATCCTCAGCCACAGCCCTCCTGTCCCGCAGTCCTGAGCTCCATGTTGTCGCTGTCTACTGCTGCAGCAGGACAATAACAGGATTTCGGATTACCCTTGACCAACAAAACGCCTCGGCTCCCGACTGCATGTAAAATTAGGAGCACGGTCGACCACACACACACACACACACACTTTGCTTATACAAGCCCACGACTCCCACGTCTACTAGAAACAAACAGTTTAACCGTTGGTGGTCCACTCCCTCTGTCATACCTCGAACCGGCCCTTGGTGATACCGTTCATGTCTGCGGCGGCACGTCCCTGCTCACAAAGCCGCACAGACAACCAGTCGCTTGACGAAAGCCGTTATTGTTTTTGTCGCCGTTTTATTTTTGGTCGGCCCGGAGTGTGTATAGGGAGCCGAGCTGGAGCTGGGTCCTCACACCCTCCCCTTCCCCTCCACAACACCACCACCGCCGCCACCACCACCCCCAGCCGTCAGCGAGGCTCCTGTCTCCGGGTCAGTGAGGTGGTGGTGAGGGGTGGCGTCGGTCCGCGGCGGCCTGCGGTAGCGTGAACGGTCGTTGTCTCGGAGACCAACGGCTCCCCAGCCCGTCTCATCGCAGGGCTACCAAAATAACAATAATAACATGGACGGTCTGTCAAGTGACTTCACTTCCGCCTCTCCCTTCATCGCTCCAGCGCGAGTCAGCTGCCCCCCCACCACCCCCCCAAAAAAAATATCCCAAGTTTTCTAGAAACAGACGGGAAACGCCGAATTAACGCCCGCTTTCATCTCCCGCAGCACCCAACGCACGTACGGCGACTGACACGGACGTTTTGCCTCAATGTTTTCTGTTTACTTGCGGGGAAAGGGGAGGGTTTACGTGACGTCATCGCTGCGGGAAAAGCACGCGTGGTCGATTTGTTTTGATTGTGGGGGTCTTGCGGAGATTTTATGGAGGGGGAGAAAAAACCCAGCAACAAAAGGGTCCCTTTCTGTCCTCATTCAGCGGGCCGGTCGCCGATGTACCGGCACCCGGAGGTGACCTGACACGAACCCGCGGGTCTGATTAAAGGAAGGAAACACTCGTATCTGTGAACAGCAGATACAGGATCCAAGACTTTCTCTGCAGTAGAGATGTGCAACGCTGTTACATTAGGGCTTCAACCTGCAGACACACACACACACACACACAAACACACACACACACACACACGTAAAAACCACCTGGACCTACTTGCACACCTGCATTATGAAATCTGTTTAGGCCTATGTAGCAATAGTAAGTGGGAGACCTACTTGTTTACTGAAATAAAAATATCCATATAATAATATTAAAATACTCTCCTATAAGGTAAACTTGTGCATTTAAGTATAAAAGAATTATAAGCATACTTTATTTAAAGTAACAAACTCATTGTGACAGACTGTAATAGGATTATTATCTCTGATGCATCAATGTGTGAGCAGCATTTGGGCTGTATTTCTTTAAGGGATGGCTAAATTGAACTACTTTACAGTGTTGGGCTGCGAACATCTCAAAGTTATACCATTTCTGTTTAAAATTGAGTCCTAAAACCTTTACTACACAGTATTGTTTTCACTCAAATTAACTTGGTAACGTCTGTTATCAGGCAGGATGGGGCAGTAGAATTATGAAAACACATTTTTATTTTAGAAAATTCAGGATGAAATACCCCAATAATAACAACACATTTTTTTCTCACTTTTTCAAGAAAATAAAAACTTAAAGGACACTGGAATTTTTTTTTTGACTGAACAATGCATCATTTTTTAGAAGCTGATTGTGTTTTTTCTAAAGAACAATCTGCAGAATATGTAAGTAACTATAGCTGTCCAATAACTTAAAAAAGTACAATATTTCACCACATTTCAATGTGGAGAGATACAGTATAAGTATAAAGTATAGCATAAAATGCTCACATAAACCCTAAAAAGGCATTTAAGTAAATACTTGAGTAAATTGCAGGTTTTGTGCTGCAGACAGGCAAGAGTGTGAGTTACACATCGGGAATTTAATATCTTCACAGTCGTTCTCAACATCCACAGCTAGAGGGCGATCTTATACAACCAGTCTGATCTCATCCTGTACTAGTGGATCATCAGTTACACACAATGTTTACTCCTTAATAAAGAATAACTCATGCAGTGGTGGAGTGCACAAGCAAAGGTTACTACGACACTTAATGTTGTTTTGTTACGTGGACTGTAGATACAGTTCTCTGTGTGGTAGGAAGACATTTGGACTGCTTTAACTGTTACTGCAGGTGTAAATAATAAAATGAATGATGGTTGAATTCCATTTAGCTGCCTCACTTTCAAGATCCTGGTATTGTGCTTGCTGGCTCACTGTCACACTGTAATGGCTACAAGGGTACTTGAATAGAACGGCACCATCATTTATGTTATTAGCAACACCTGTGCTTTGTTCTACGACATACTTAAGTAATCCTCCCATTTGTAACAGGGTGCTTAAACACTAACAGGAAAGTGAGGCAGATGTCAGTCAAGCTCAGTTTAAACACACCCCCGCAGTCCTGAGATGAGGTCGAATTAGTAAGAAGTAAGAGAAAACACCTGTGTGGGTGTACTTTGGGTGATTATTAATGATACTGTACTTACATGGTGCATATTACTGAATTCATTTGTGTTTTATCACATTACCAGACAGCAAACCCACGTTAATGTAGTCATGGCTACGCAGTTTCTCCTCTTTGGTTTAAGGTGTGCACCTCAGTGAACAGTAGGATGTTATTGTCTTCCATACCTCTCTCAGGTTCAACTGATGAACATTACTGACTGAATTGTATTCAGGTGGTTTCAAGGCCCTTGGTGTTGTCTTAGTGGCTCTTAAATGACAGAGAGACATCCACCTGTTCTTTGCCTGCCAGTGATGCCTGGTAAGATAGTGTTATAGTCAGCAGGATTTGAATTCTGTTGTCTGCAAACATCGTCATATCATATCTTATACACTGTGTTATTCTACAAAATAAATACAGAGATGACTCAGATAGAGGAAATACTTTGTGAGTGCCTGTTGAGATATGCACAAACATTTTATGGTGCTCGTGCTAAAATGTACCCTTTTATCTGCGTGCCACACATTTTCAACCCTCGTGCCACCCCATCTCACTGCATTGCATGGTAATTAACAATCTCTCATCAAAAGTCAAATTAATTTTCTCAGTTCTTTGAATAGCTCCATGCCCTTCTCCTCCTGACTCTGCTGTGGCTGGCAGCTCAGTGTTGAATGTTTCCTGATGATCGCAGTGACTCCACTGGTGTCAAGCAAGGCCAACTATGTTAAACACATAATGTTTCATTATCTGTACTTATTGCCTCTTCTTATTTTGTATTGATCTGACTTTTTAATTAATGTCATGTATGTTTTTTTTGTGTGTATTTTATCACGGGTTGACTATTAATATTTAGTACACAGTAAACCCAGGTTTATTTTCCTTAGCTTGTGAAAAGTTGGAGATGCATGGTTTTCACAGGACAGCAACACACACACACACACACACACACACATACAATCAATCATCTCTCTCAAAGCCAATTTTCTCTGCATGCAGCTTCAGCTCTTGGCTTTCAAAGCTGTTCCTGTTTTTCTGGACCCCACTCCTCATGGAGGTTTAAGGCGGCTGTTGCCATGGAGACAAAACCATACCTGTGCTCCCTGTCCCTGGGCTGCACCAGTATGACCAGAATGATTTCCTCTGAGTCAACCACACACTAGCACTACACCTCATTCTGACAGGACATGTCTCACATGGGAAGTCACTGGTCTCGCACATACTCAGAGCAATCTTGTGGTCGGTGTGTGTGTGTTTACTTCCACGGCGCAGATTGTCTGATGGGTGTGTACTAGAAGTCCTGTGAGATTACACACCTGTGTGAAGTCTGGACGTGCGTCTGTCCCCTAACAGAACGGACACCTGCAGCAAACATAATTCTCACCACCCTCTGATGGTGCAGGTGTGAATCACTGTCTCTCTCCCCCTCGCCATGCCTCTCCCCTCTCCTGTACGACCTTCATCCTTCCAGAAATAGCCCCCCGTGCATGAGTCAGGATCCCAGCCCACCTTAAACTCATTCAAACCCCTCTGAACAGGAGGTGAAAATATGAGAACAGGGTGGAAAAATGTGACAGAGAAACACAGAGAAGAGTGACTGAAATGGAAAACCATCTGTGGGGAATTGAAAGGCAACGGCAGCATGGGTGACTCCATTGGTGCCGAGGGAACACTGAGAATTATGAAAATGGAAAAGGTGGGAAGTGAAAGAAAGTAATGGAGAGAGATGAGTAAGTGTGAATCCTCAATAAAGGTGTCACTCCTTTAGGAATTTCTATACCATTGTTTTTTTTATTTCAATTGACTTTTATTTGAGTGTGCATTAATCTGCACACACGTATATATCGCTCACTCCCACTCTTATTCATCAGCAGCATGTGTCCTTTCTTCCAAGTGCTTTCACTGCCTTCTATTCATCTCTCCTCCTCCTTCCATCTCTTTGGTTTAAACAGAGATGCAGAATAAAAGAACTGGCCTATTCTTAAGAAAACAATCTCTGATAGTGGAACGTACTGTTAAGTACATGTACTGATATGCACTCGAGTACATGTTGTACTGGAGTATCTGCATTTCATGCCACAGTATACCTCTACTCGACTACAGTTCAGAGGCAAATATACTCCACAATTAATTGAAAACCGTACTCACTTTACAAATTAATATTATACATACAAAACATCTGATGAAATGTGATTGAATGTGTGAATTAAAGTTGAAACGATTATAGATTTTTTAATATGAGCATTTGCTGCTTTTCCTTGGAGAAAACAGTAGCAACCGGCAGTTTGACTCTGGGAAACTATGATGGAAATATCTTACTATTTTCTTACTATCTTTACAGATCAAACATACCATAAATCAATTAATCAAGAAAAACAATTAATTGACCTACAAAGAAGATAATATTTGCTTACAACCCTGTATACAATTAGCTCTACCACAAACAACTTAAAATGCAGTTTGAACTTAATTACATAAGTAATAATAATCTAATTATATTATATACAATAGTACAAGAGTACTTTTACTTTCTATATTTGAGTACATGCTTGTACTTTTACTTAAATAACATTTTCAATTCAGTACTTGTACACTACATGTACTGGAATGTTTTTACATTGTGGCATTGCTATTTCTAATAAAGTAAAGGATCTGAATCATTCTTTCATCACTGACAATCTCACTGTGTATCTGCTCTGGAGCTATCATCACTTGCTCTTCTTCAGCAGATGGAGTTGCACAGCTGCAGTGTTGAATGAAGTATTCATATCTTTTACTTCAATAAACATAGCAATCCAACAATTTAAAAATACTCTGTTACTTAGTAGATGTCCTGCATTACTTAAGTATGCAAGTATTATCAAGAAAATCTTTAAAGTAAATTAAACTACTTATTATGCTGCCAAAATGGGCTTTGCTGTTTGGTTATACTAAGTAGTAGTAGTAGAGCTAATTAATAAATAAATAAAATCTTCATTCGCGAAGTAACTACAAATGTAGTAGAGTAAAAAGTACAATATTTCTCTCTTAAATGTAGTAGAAAAAAAAATAGAGGACAATTTTTAAGTAAATGAAAACACTAGTACAGTACTTGAGTAAATGTACTCGGCTCCTTTCCACCACTGCCCAGGTGTCATGAAATTGTAGATGATCAAATGTAAATTTTTCTGATCACTGTACAAACTTCTTGAGGATGTTAGCTTGAAAGTTGAAAATGACAGCTCCATGACAACACCCATCTGCTGAAGAAGATCGTGTGAAAGCCCCGGAACAGCTACTAAATGGACACTGATTCATATCAACTGCTGTTTCCATGGTCAAGAATCAAACTTCAGTTTATAATATTCCATTCTTGTTGCTTGCAGATGAGAGAATGCCCAAAATATTCACTCAAGAGGAACAACTCTCACACTGCAGCACTATCCCCTTGGATGTGCTGTTTATACACAGATTAAAGGGACATCCATTTGCTTGTATGTGTGCATTTGTATATTTAAAAAAAAAACATATGTGCACACTGTGATAACTTTTATTGTCTGTGTATAACGTTTTTATAATGTTGCTGTAGATTTAGTGGTGTGGATCCTGTATCTACTGGTGCTAGGTGGGTTGGTTATCTTCACCTGCAGATTCACTGAAACAATGCCTGCATGCTTTAAAATGCTCTCTATGGGCTATGGTCATCTGTCTTTATCTGCCTCAACCAAATGGGATACACACACACGCGCACGCGCGCGCGCGCGCACACACACACACACACACACCGACTAATAGAGGGAAGTTTGGCCTAGCAGAGGGGACAATAAACCTTAATTAAGATTTTGTTCTGCTCAAAGGACCTGCACTATTTGGGCGTACTGAACCTGAGCTCCCTTATTAGCCACTGGGTGTTAAATTGTCTTTAAAAAACAGTGCTAATATCTTATTCTTATACAAACAAGCCCCCTCATACAGTTTTAACGTTTTACCTAAAGGCTTTTAATGTCATGCCAGCTCACGAGTAATGAGCAGGTAAAGCTTTCATGTGTTGCTCATGGACACTTCAGCAGCAGCTTTCCTATTCTCCCTCCTCTCTCCCTCTCTCTCTCTCTCTCTCCCTCTTTCTCTCTCTCTCTTTCAGCAGTCTATCTGACCACCCTCAAGAGTTTGAGCCGTGACGTATTTACTAACACCGCCACGCGAGTTTTCACACCGGTGCTCCATCTGCTCGCTAGGGCGACTATTTGGGGGACCTAAACTGCGCCTCCCAGTAGAGCCGCGCGGACCGTTTTCTTTTCCGTTTAACAGCCGCACTTGACAGCAAGCTTCTTCCTCCTGCTCAGTCCACCTCTGTCCACCAGGAGGGAGTCCGCTCTCCACCGAGACTGTGAATACTAAGTCGTTTTGGAAGTTTTTTGGACACGTTTTCTAACATAAAAAGTGAGACTTTTGCCTACAGACGAGGGCGCAAGAAAAAAAAGAAAATGCTGGATCGTAGCCAAACTGTTCTATCATTGCTCTTTGGATGCCTGGTTTGTCTTTTGGGGACCTCTGTTGTAAATGCAGACGGTAAGTTAAAGTTATTTTAATAGAATAAAATTATAAAAACGTGACAACAAAACGACGAAAAAAGTCACAATTTATTCCCAAACGCATGTATAAGCTTTTATTAAAATATTCAATCTTCCATCATGAAGTTAAGGTTTTAACTGTTACTCAGAGCTGGTGGAAGCGCGCGCTAACGGCTGACACCTGCCCTGCTGTCTCGTGCGTTTTGTAATGATCGCCAGAGAGCACGTTCCGTCTTAGCCCGCGGGGTTGTTGTTCCCCCACTAAAAATGGTTCATGTAATATCCAAAAAGCCTCATACTTCCAGTAAAGCTGTGCGCAATGGACTTACTTTCACAAATCCAGATATTTATAAGGTTGAAACATAAGAACATGTTATTTTTTGGGGGTTTGTGAACATTGCTGAGGTGACAATGAGTGAGACAGAGTGCTCTTGTGATGCAGTGAATGGATTACACCTGTAGTCAACCGTCTCAGGAGGTGGACAAAGCGCACAGATATACAACTTCTGTGCCATGTCGTAGTTATTTATTTAAAAAATATATATGTTTTAGTAGCAGGCGTCACATATTACTCTCTCCTAACGTTATATCATGGACTTTTGTTGTGTATTTTATGTATACATAAAATACACAACAAAAGTCCATGTCCTTATTATATACATATAATAAGCAGTTACCCCATTAGGATGTATGGTTTGATTAATATCATCATTATGGCGCACATGATGAGGATATAGACTTTGTTACCAGTCACAAAATACATATTTGCACATCTCCAAAGTATTAATTAAGCCTATATGTTGCTTTACTGTTTCAGTCTCACCGTTTCAACCATTGAAATGGATCCCCAAAATTCATGTTAAAGAAAATTGGTAGGACTAAAAAACCTGAGGACATTTAAGCATAAACAATCTAGTATAGTCCCCCCCATAACAGGGCTTTTAGCCATAATTTTCCTTATCTAACAGTAATGTTCAACTTAATTGGGGTTATTCTCTTGTGAACAAATGTAAGACAGAAAAGATTAGTGAATATTGTGCAATATAAGAGGTTAACAACAGGACCAAATCTACCTTTGGGTACAAAAAAAGTGACCAAAAAAAAGTTTCAGAGGTTTTCCTCTTACTTCTTGCTCTCTCTTGCCAGGTCGAGTGTTCGTGTTGGACTTGAGGAACTCCTCCGGCCTGCAGGGCTTCAGAGACGCTGAGCGGGCTTGTGCCTCACGACATGCCCGCTTGGCATCATCAGAGGAGCTCCGTCACGCTGTGGCAGAGTGCTTCTTCTCCCCATGCACCCGTGGGTGGCTCTACGGAGGCGCAGTGGGGTAAGAAAAAGAAGTATTTGTGTTTGGAATTGTGCATGTTTGTGCATGAGGGTCTTCATTGTTTTAAGGCACATGTAGGGGACTTGAGATTTCCAAAGATGTCAAAGGTCATTTTGGTGTGAGCGCTTCTGTGTGTGTGACGGAGGTTGCAGGAGTGGATGAAAGAGAAAGGAAGTGAAGGCATCAGCGGCAGTTATAGAGAGAGTGGGAAGAAGAGAGTGACACATTTCAGGGGGGAAAGAGAAAAAGGAGAGAGGAAGAGAGGGAGAAAGACTCCTCTGTTCCTTCCTGGAGGAGGAGGGAATTCTGAGCCGGGGTGTCATGTCGACAACTGCCTCCATTTACACCTCTCATCTCCACGGTAACATGACAGACAGACAGACAGACAGGCAGAGAGACAGAGCGGAGCAACATTGGTACATTGTTATGGTTTTGTGTTTGATTGACAACTTGTATCCTTAGCTGTAATTGCAGAGGATAGAGAGAAAGTATTGCAGTGGTCCTGGTCTACATGGTTTCTAATGTAAGTTGATTCCAGGCCTGTAGATAATGGGGTTCAATGTGGATGCTGGTGTGGTGCTTGTGCTTTTCAAAGCTCAGCTGAAATACTATTTTCCTGTTGAAGAAGAAATAACTACGTAACTAGTAATTGATCAAGGCCCAACGAAACAGACATATATTTATATATTTCTAACTCAACTTTTAAACTATTGCTGCAAGTATTATTTTCATTATCAATTAATCTGCCAATTATTTCTTGATTAACTGATTAATCATTTTGTCTATGAAATATCAGAAAATAGTAAAAAAAAAAAAAAAAAAGAAAAGATTTTTAAAAATGGCAGCACAGTTTACCAGAGCCCAAGAGGACGTCTTCAATTTACAGCCCCAGAAACAGATATAACAAATATAAACAATAATAATAAACAAGCACAGGACTCTGTAAGACTTTGCAGGTCTGTTGAGCTGAATGCTAACACTAACAAGCTTGCATGCTCACATTAACAACACTGATCATGTTTAGCGGGTACAATGTTAACCATATTCACCATCTTAGTTTAGCAAGTTAGCTAACATTTGTCAATTTAAGCTTATTTGGTCTAAAAAAAAGTTATTAAGATTCATCCTGAGGGGGACATGAATGTCTGCACAAAATGTTATTATCCACAGCAGTTTCTGAGTTATTCCGGCACCAATCGACCTACAGACCGCTACGCTAACATGGCTCTCTTGAACAATTCACATTCTCTGCAAAGTTACTAAATACTAAATGGACTAAATAAGATATTGTAAGCTGATACATTTATGGTAAAGTATATGATGTATGGGAAACAACCAACCTTTCTCATTAGTCAAAGGTAATCAATGTTACGAAACTGAACCTGCTCCAAAATGGCGGCTGCCCTGTGACAAACGCCCGGTCAGAGGAAAAGCTGACTTTTTTTTTCTTTTTCCTTCCTCCCTGCTCTCTATGTGTTGGCCAGTTTTAACACCCGCTTACCATGTTTCACAGTATATCACCCATCTCTGTGCGTCTGTCTAAGTTCATCCCTAACACCCCCCCTCAAACCTTTTCCACCTGGACCTGGTTTATTCTTTTGCAGTGTTGATGGAGGAACCTCTCTGTGTCCAGTGTGACGTCACAGACACTTCATCTCTCTTATTGTTTCTTCTTTTAATTTCGCTTGTCTGCTCCCTGTGAGGCTGCTTCTTGGCTGTCAGTTGTAGAGCAGATCTCCTGTAGCTGTTGGCCACTGTC